ACCGTGCCCGGGCCAAACAACACCCGCGGGGCTGAAAGCAAACGGCCAGGGGTGGGAGGGGAGAAAAGCACACGACTTCCTAAGATTGGTGAAATAGGGGTTGATTTAAACATGGGGAGCGAAAAAACTAGGAGCCCGTGCTCCAGTCTGTGCAATTTGTGGACACGCGAAACACGAAGCCTTCCAACCCGCGGTCCCTTTACCTAAACCCCCAAAAATAGAACCCCCCATCCGCAAATGCACCCAACACGCAAATCTTACACCCTCTGTGGGACCGGTGCTGCGACCTGTGGTGAACTAAGGTAGGAGGATGTACTACTGCATTTGCGACACTACTGGCACTACTGACTTCACTTGGGTCGTGCGTGATGCTTGCCTCTGCTTCGTCAACCCTCTGAGCAGCGATCAGAGCCTCAAGCATTAAAAGCACTCCCGCAGTGCTGGCAAGCTTTAAGAGAATGTGGCAGAGTGTCCTTCAAACTTCATCGGGAAGTACCTGGAGAACCCTTTGTCATATTAATTCTTGCCCGTGCAAGTTTTTCGCACGTTCAGTTGCAGGGATTGTGGTTTAGTGCGTTTCCGGAAAGAAACGCTCGAATAACACGAAAACGCTCGTAATGAACGAATGCTCTGTTATCCAGCTGATGTTCATGATGTATGCCCTCGACATCTTCAAAAGATGAATGAGCCGCGCTCTCAGTTATTTTTTCCGCAGCTGCGGGTTTCCGCTTGCTTCTCCAGTTGCACTTTGTACGCCCCGAGCATCTTTTGGATGCAACGATATGCACAGCTCAGTGCGTGTGTCCCACTTCTCCTCGCCAAGCGTGCTGCTTTTCCAATAAAGTCTTCGTCGCTCCAACACGCTTGGTCTTAGATGACACATGCCCTTGTAGATCTGCAACACAGGGTACGTTGTATACTCTTCATGCATGCAAATAGTGCAGCGAGGAGGCTGAGAGGATTAAGAGCTTTTTGGCCACGGCTTGCAGCTTGTAGGATTGGGATACTCAGTTAATTGTCAATCTAGGATCCCACCACGAATCGTGAGAACTGACGGATGACAAGCTGTAATGTTTGCCAGCGAGCCACGTAAAGTGAGCCTGCATATGCAGCTTCGGCCTCACACGGAACAATCTCCAGGTGGTCATCTCGACGCAGCGTCTCGCGAGGAGAATGTATCCAGCCTGAGATCATGCTTGGGGTAATTGGTTTCGGGTTGGGTGGTACCCCTGCACGTACATAGCCAGCCAAGATGCACACATCTCATCCCCAGCTTCAACAACTAGCATACTGGTCGCAGGTTCCAACCAGAGCCCTTCATGATGAAGCAACCGAAAATATCGGTTAGCACAGCCAAGGGTATACTTCAACATCGAAAGGAGGTCGTCATGAGAGCATTCCTTGGTTTGGGAAAGTTTGGGGTTTGGAATTGGCTTCCAGGGGTAATTTACGGTTTATAGGTTTAGGGTGGTAGGGTTTAGGGTTTAGGGGTTTAGGCTTATAGGAGATTTAGGGTGTACATTAAAACTATGTGCACATAAATTAAAGCATCATGGGCTCGTTCCTTGACAAAAGGTTCTCCAACCATGAAGTCAAAATAGCCGTGTCAGCCCCTCTGCCACCAGTGGCTGAAGGAAAACTCTGTAACCTTGCATGGATGGAAGCACATCTGCATGAAGAATTACCATGCAGCTGTTCATCTATACAGCACTATAGCTAGGGTATAATATGTAAAATCCTATGCTATCCATCACAGGATCTGGCCCATCTTGAAGCCAGACAATGAGAATCCTCGAATATTGGTAGATTTCTTGGCAGCACTGCACCACTGGATGAAGTCAGCATAAGCTTTGGGAAGGCGAGCTTTCAAAGACCGCCCAGGAAACAACCCCAGCTGGCATACCAGAACAACTGCAGAAGCAGCAAAATCACGGCCACACCTCCAGCGACTACACCAGCAAAGAAGTGTTATAGGTTAAGCCCTTCTAGGATAGGTTAAGCCCTTCTAGGATTATTTGCTTCCCAGTGACCCAATGTGCCACGTATGGGCTGGATCGATCAAAGCGCGCTCCGGAGCTCCCAGCCCAGGCACCTGGAACAGGGGCGATCGCTGCGTTTTAAATGGCGTCGGGGCCCCACCAGGAGAGCGCCACGGGGCATCCTTTGCGAGGTTGAACCATTCCTTATAAATCATCAGCTTGCATGGGTTTATGTAGAATCTAGGGGCCTGCGTGTGTCAGGACTACATGCATGCATATAAAAATTCCAAGAGTCTTAAACGTACCATGCATAGTGCAGTCCGGAAACCTCACTGCTGCACAAGTGACACTTTCGCTTGCATTGCCAGCCAGTATTCAAAGTCATCGCCTCAAGACACTGCACATACTGCAGTGGTGCAAGCATACTACTCATGCACGCAATCACATGACACAACATGGGGTTCCCACCTTCCTCAAGTAGACCCAGTCCCCTTTCACCCCCACGACACAAAAGTAGAAGGTGGTAGGCCCCAGAGGAGAGTCGACCTCAGCCCATTCCCACAGAGCGGATCTATGGTTCAGCAGTGTTGCCTCCCAGCCCATAACCCCCAGGCCCTAATATACCTTTTAAGTTGAAGCTAGCAGCAGTAAGACCTTTGTTGTACAAATCACAAAGGTCTGCAGCGAAAGCAGCATTGAGCTTATCCAGAGTAGCATCCTTCCAATACAGTTCAGCTGGCACGACTGTGTAGAGGAAGCGAGTACAGTAGGTGTGCCTGTGCCAGGCACAGTGATGCGATCATTAATTTGACTGTGCTCCCTTTAGAATCTTAGGGTTTCGGTTATAGGGTTTGGGAAAGGCTACACCAGGTAGTAAATTATTGAATTGGTGTAAACACATAAAACATGCGGCTCATATGCTGGATTGAGTGGCCCACTGCTGTTCTTGAACGATGTACCTTTGAAGGATACGCACGGCTGGATACCTTCCACCATAATCGGAAGCTTGTACTTCCCTCGTCCTTCGTCACCATGTATATATAGTGCAATCGTGTGAGTCGCAGGCGGGCTGTTGGGCCCACTCATGATATGTGTAGGATCATATGCCTTGTGCAGCTCCCAGAACTCTGAAAGCATGGCTTGCCACCCTGCAGTATCCTTAAGATCGTTTCCACCCAAAACCAGGTAGCTATGCTCTCGCAGAAGAAACCTCATCCAACTGCTTGGGTAGATCACTGGGTAGGCAATGTCCACCTTCTTGAGAACCGGGCGTCTCTGTCGAACTGGAACATCCACAAAGCTGATGCTCACTGGCACTGTCATATTCTCACGATGTATGAGCCGATGAAGGTTTCGACACGTGTTCGAAGAAGTACGACCAGCAGCTGAAAGCTTGTAGAGTAGGTCCAGTTGTCCTAGAGATGACACAATACAATAATTAAGAGCTCAAGCCAACAAAACAAACTTGCAGCCTGGTGTCGTACACCGCCCCCAATCTTGCACATCAGTGTTGCAGCGTCCGTCGTCCCTTTGGCAGTCTCTGCCTCGATCATTGAATAGCAGTGCATGGTGCTGAAAAGCCCTGCTGGCTAGTACAGCTTCGGAACCCCATTGAAGTATTTTGATAAGATTTCAGCTGCAGCTTCTTGATCGAGGTCATGATCTTCTTGCTGCCGGGAAGAGCGTTGGCCTTACTACATGCATGGAGCAGAAGTGGCTTTACTGGCTGATTGGTCTAGAGGCTTTAAACGCGCACATACAACTGTTGTCCGAGATTCCGCCCACCAAGAGATTCAGGGTTGGATCACTGATACCCCCAGAGCCTGGCATGCAGGATAGGAGTTAACAATTGAAGCAACACTCATCCCAGCTTCAGCATGGACAATCCGTTCAAAGCAGTGGCAGCCCTCAAGCTTTTTGTGCTCCCATGGCCCAGATCTCAAGGCATGCCATTTGCCCGCATGACCATTTAAGGTATGCAAGCGTAGCTGGTAGCTATCGGAATTACACTTGCAGTGCGTGGCATGTATGCACACGACGCACACGAAGCAACATCGGTTGGCACATGTGGCGAGGCCTGCACTATGTGTAGCTATACATCACCCGGTAAACCCTGCCCGACAACCTCTTGATACTCTGCTCTGCAATATGCTAGCTATAATGCAGGCAGGCATGCAGCCACTGCTGTCGCCATCCAGACAAAACTCAGGAGCACCTCTTTTTGGGGGCACTCTTAGCAGCAACAGGCGCGCCCTTCCTCTTCCCAGCACTCTTCTGGCTTTTACTCTTTGGGGTGGGAGTCGATCCTTTCTTCCTCGATGGCGTCTTTGCATGGGACCTGGCATATACTAGTCAACATACAGACACATTGAATGCATGTTATGGATCGAACCGAGCCTCGCTCGCACCATCATTGCATTGATAGCCAAATCCAGCCGGGTGCATTGGGCATAGCAGGCCAGGAGCTGTTGCTTCGTATCCCTCAGAATTACAAAACAGTAGCGGCAACATGCTTCATGACTCCTGATCGAGACAAGCATATTTTATCCAAGCATCCGGGAGGGGGGTGTGCCAGCATCAAGAACCGCATCCTCCTGAAACTTCAGCAACATCTTGTTCTTCTTGTCGAGATCATCAACTTTGGGCTTCAGCTCTTCAGCCATCCTGGGTTCAGTGATTATAAACTAATTAGCAAAGGGAGTGCTATTCAGTAGAGAAGCTCGATAGCCCGCTTGCCTCCATTTTCATGCAGCTTGTCCTGCCAGACACTTTGGATGGAACAGTTTGGGTCAATACTGCACTATACAACAAGAAAGCTCCTTGAGGTCATTCCCCTTGTCCACTTTCTTACCAGTCATTTCGATGTACACAGCCAGAACACCTGGGAACAACAGCTAGTTGAGATCTGTAGTAAAGGACACTAGGATCATCACGGATTGTTGGTAGCATGCCAAGTTACTAAACACATCCTGGTTGGCCTGCAATACAGGGAGGCACTTCTCCTTAGCCGAGCTGGCAGTCGATGCCACAGCAGCTCGGGCATGATCAACATCATTTCTTGCAGCAGCATTGGTCCTGAGCAGTACATATGGAACTTTAGCAGACCACAACAGCACAGCCCAGCATGCTAATACACTCTGTGGCTCTGCAAGGCCGATGTCTCTGTCACTGTATTCATCAGCAAGCTTCCACTCGCATCCTGACCGAAGAGGCCATGGGGCTCATCAGTTAAGGATTTGGTGGGCTATAAGAGCTGCTGTTAACTGGTGGCATGAGTGTGCACGATCAGCAATTACGTATAACACGTGTACATCAGCCTGGGCTTGGGAATTTTACAGGATCTAGGCCGGGTTTCAATTCAGACCATGATATTATCGTTTTCGGACCAGTATTTTTTGCTGCCTGCATGGGTTTCTGAGTTTGGAGGTTTGGCTCTTAAGGTTTAGGGTGTTCGAAATGAATTAATGCCGTGGCCGATAGAACTTGCAGGTGTGCGCGGTTTCTACATGATTCACAGACATAGAGGCTACATATTGTGATTGAAAGGCCAGACAGATCCATGGATCCAAAAAGCAATTTATAAGTCAACACAAGGCATGTGTAGAACTTCAGCCTAAAGGGAGTTTTGGACTACTTAGCTTGGGTCTTATAGTCTAGGGATTTCAGTGTATTTTAAAGTTTGGGGAATTAGGGAGTGATTAGCTTAATTCGGGATTCTGGTGTTCGGCACAAGTTTGGCATGCCTTTTTGGGCTGTTGAGTCATGAATAGTATCTCCACAACAAGCTCAACATTCACATATATAGACCACACTGTATTGCAATTTGCACACGACAGAAACCGCCTCAACCCTCGATCAGACCGGCAAGCCCATGATAGGTATTTATATATTAAACATGGACCCATAGGCTTGAAATGACCTGTGCACATAGTGCCTATAATCACCTGAGACCTTACAAGGGTAAGAACTCTGGCTAGCCCCATAGTACTCTCAAATCCCAGTAACACATGTAACTTCGAAGCCCACTATAGATCTGTAATTTTAAACTCCTAACAATCAGTTCAATCCCCAGAACTAGAGACCTGAGAGCCCAGATTATAGACCCATTAATTCAGAACCCCAGCCCTAGCCCTGGCTCCAGTTCATACAACCAGCCTCGCAGGTGAAGGAGCCAGTTTGCTTTGTAGACTGGCTCTCCTCATTCCTGAATAGGTATTCCTCCTTCGTGGGGATTTTGTATTCATCAGCTCCATGAACCTCGTTGGTTCTCACCAGCCCTCTCGCCGTAGCCCAGCGCTTGGAGTTATCAATCATGGTCCTTAGATATCGATCGTTCGAGTGATGCATATGCAGAACTATCACCACATACAACAGGCCAGAGACATAATTAATGTACAGTCATGTAGCTGTGTATATCCCATAGCAGCCATGGAGAGTTCAGTCTCCCATCCTCCCTTCTTATCACTTTGTGAAGTCTGGGTGGACCTTTTCTCCAGCTCCACCTCAACCGCCCTGAATGACCCATGTTGCAAGAGCATCTCTCGAAGTTTTTCCCCTTGGATTGGAGCACACCCTGCCACCATAAGTGCATGCACATGTTCATGGTCCGACAACATACAGGCTCAGTGCTTTAAGTGAAAGCGTCTTTGGCTCGGGTCCTTGAACATTCGCATAGCTTCCTCTGAGCATTTCAGCTCGCCCCTCTTGTTGGGCCTGAAGTAGCGATTCATCCTGAGCTTGCATGCACATGCTATATAGCACACCACGCATCACACATGTGCACATGCAGTCCAGCATCTTCCAGTGTGTACCATCCTCGTACATCGAGACAGCTGAGCTTGTAGCGGACGGGGCCGGGGATTGTGGCACAGCAGGAGCTGGATGCGGGGGGCTCGCAGTGGAATCCCGTACTGTCGGAGTGAGCTGGGCAGTCTTTGCCCTGCACATTCCCTTGCCAGTCTTGCCCCTAGCTGGTGTAGCAATCACACGGACCGGGGCTGGTGCAGATGGCTTGACCTCTGTTCCGCCTTTGTGTGGTAGCCCTGGCAAAAAAGCGCCGTGGATCACAGCCTCGTGAACACCACTACCTGCATCAGTAGATCCTGCGAATGCACAGTCATGTGTGTGCATGCAGCACTGAATGTTTCAGAGTGTGGGCAGGGAGCAAAGCATGCAAACAGATATCATGCATACACATGCACACACACACTGTGCACATCGGTCAACATATATGTATCCCTAATCTACAGTTCAATGCTAACACACACATGCACATGCACCCTGACTGCAACATACAGTGTCCTTGCTGGGGGTCAGCACCATCGAAGGCGGCCATATCCTGCTGGAGCTGCATGATCTGCCTGGTCTCTTCCTTAGTTGTGCACTATGCTGCGGCCCACCAAGCATTCGGAGCACATATAGTTGTGGATTATGCATAGGCATCTGAGAGTCAGCAATCCTGGCATCCAGATCATCATCAGTTGTCGTTTGACACTGCTGGGCCAGCATTGCTAGGCCAAGGTCAAGGGAAGTGCAGGTCACACTCCTCTCAACGGGCGTTGCTGCACGGCTAGAGAGCATCGGGCAATCAACTTGCACCATCATGTGCACAATCGGTCTGCTTTGTGCAACAATCACGATTTCTGCAAAAAGTGCTAATCCGAAACGGGCAATTGTGCAGTTTTTCCGGTTTGCGCCCGTTGCTTTGTTTTGCGCCCGTTTGGCGGCTTTTTGCGCCCGCTTTGCGGGTAGAATTGCCCGCATTTTTTTGCTTCAAGAGGATTTATGGATAAATTGTGTTTTGGTGATCTATTCTAGGATTAGGCTTCGAAACTACTGCTTCATGCTCACCAGCACAGCACTGCTACACCCAGTCAGCTGCCATTGTGTGCAGCCAGCAAATCATCTCGAAGGGGGTCTTCAGCAAGAACCTTGGGACAAGAGGGAACCACTCACTGCACTGAGTGAGCCTATCATGTGCTATGTGTTCCAAACTGATTGATGCAAGACACTGTCGCTCTCAGCTCTTCATTGAAATCATCCATTGTGCTCAGCCACGAGTCGGGAATATGCAAACGCTTATTCATGTAGAGGTACGACCACACTTGCACCATCTCTGCTTCGGGCCATGGGTCTCCTAGCTCTGTACTGCGAAAGAGATCTTTGTCTGTCGCTCGGTCAGGGATATGTAGCTTCTGCCTCAAGCACAATCGAGGCGACGAAGACCCTTTCTCATCTTCCCAGAGGCGGAACAGCTTTTTGCCAAAGAGCTTGGTGTAGGCCCTAGGCCCGGGCAAGAAAGGGATCGAGCAGATAATCATGGTTTAGTTTATAACATTAAAGGGGATTAGTGTGAATGCCTGGTCCATATACAGATCACTCAAAAAAGTATATGACGGCACAACTATACATGTACGTAAGGACCTGGCCCGCTCTTTTGCAACTCCTTCTTGGAGCCCACAAACTTCTTTACACCAGTAGGCCCTTCGTAGCGACCTGGGTTCACAAATGTGTTTCAGGTTTGCATGAGGCTAATCATTTCAGGGACAGCTGGCTAAACTGGCCATGCGCATGGTTTGTTGGGCCCAGACTGCACTGCGCACTCGATGGAACAAGCCTCTGTGGTTGGTAAGGTTCGGGCGTACAGTCTTAAATTCAGTCTTGGCCCGCATATCATCGCGACTCATCTGGCCAGCCGCCTCCTGCAGGATCTAGGCAACATGCTGTATGTCGACCAGTCACAACCACAAACACAAGCCCAACCCACTAACCCCAAGCCTGAAGGCCCTGCACAATGATGCTCGAGTTGGACCAGACACAGGTTCGTTTTGGAGTCGGGGCACCAAAGCATTGCTGCCAGAAGTAGCCTTTGTAAACCTGGGCTACGATGAGGTTTGGGGAAACTAAGGCCTGACCTATCGGTTATTATATAGAAACACCTCACCCTATCCCCTGGGGTTTGGAGCTTTTAGGGCTTAGGGGTTTAGGGGTTTCAGGGGCTTTAGGGTTTTAAGGGTTTAGGAGTTTAGGATACGGTTTATAATTATAGGAGATATATGGTACCATACATTAAATTGCCTGCAACCGAAACCCTACAAACCCTAACCCTACATCCACATGCCCTGTGCTTCACAGCCACAGCAGTGGCTATAGGGTCAATGTCTATAGGGCTGCTACAATGGGGCTCTGGTTTTCAGTTCTAAGGGGATATCAGGATCAGTTGCAAGTGTGTATGGGTACACAGGAGGTATGGCATGCATTATAACTGCTGGATCCAGCAGAAGCGTGCAATGTGCATGCATGTGTACTAGCATGCATGCATGTGTCGACATGAGTACAGCATTATTCATGCATGTGCATGCAGGATCATGTGTCTTGGAAAGTCGTACTATATATCAGCATATATATATGGTTATATGTGATATAGTATGCATGCATATAATATACATCATGCATATAAAAATACAGATACACCCACATACACACAAGCCATAAGTACATTAGCATGCGTACAGATGTTGCATAAAACCCATGCATCTAAATTAGCCTGCACCTCCACATGCTAAGCCTAGCAAATCCCTCCTGAAAACCCTGCCCTCAAAGTCCACCCCCAAGGTTCTTGTAGGCTAGCATGCACTCTGTCACCTATTCCTATTGAAGGCCCTTCCCATACTCTAGATCGACAAGGACATATAATGAACCAACTCTTGACCCCCGACCCCAAATCCATGCCTACAAAACGACCCATAGCCCTGAACTGATGAAGGCTTTGTGGCCCATCCACCTGGGCCCTCCAGGGTGCAAGTGCACTGGGCAGGCCAGGACGTGTTAATGTGGCCTCTGGTTTCAGGGTGGGTATAATACTGACAAGGCACATAGCAGATCTTGTTTGCAAACCATGAAAATCGACGATTGAAAGGTAGCACTTGCTCACTCCCAAGCGGCTGCTCCAGGATAAATACCCCATGTACTGCCAAGATTAATATCATCAGCAGCACCAGCCTGCGAGACATGGAATCATGAACTGTTGTGCATGCAGACAAACTGCAGATGCCACGCCTGGCAATAGTCATGTTGCCATCAGTGACAAAATCCGTAGAAGCACGGCCATCAGGATTAATTGGGGACCTGTCCGAAGTCCCCCGGCTCACAAAGGACCAGCTTCCACAGGGCGGGGCCAAAACATTCATAGCATTTGGAAGCTCCCGCATCACACACGCCATCGCCAGCCTTGGAGAATACAGCCATTAATGCAGCATCTATAGACTCGTAATTGCATGAGGCTATGTATACACAGCGCTGTGCTAGAAGCTGAGCCCTGAACGCAAATCCTCCCGAAGAAAGGAAGTTCATGGAACGGCCCGAAGGATCATAGATGCAGTCATACGATGCGTAGGATCTGCCTTCCTCTCGGAAGGCTTGGCTCACCTTTGCTTCACCGGCGAACAGTTCCAACATCTCGAGTCGCATTTGCAAATCAATATTGGTCGTCCACATAAGTAGCAGGACCTCAGGTATCAAAGGCATCTAGCATTTGACCGAGCATAAACATCCAGGCATGCATGCATCTGCCGGCATATACCACACGAGTCTTGCAGCTGCGAGGCACACCCGATAAGCACCTAGCAGGGATGCTTGAAATTAATATGCACAAAACAGCATGCCTGCATGCACTGGGCATGGAAATCAACCCGCAGCACCTTGGGGGCCTGGAGTTGCACCAAGTTTGCAACCACTGATTCCCATCTTTGGCTAGGCATATCCACTGAGGCTCCCTTTGAGCTCAGCTAAAGCCAGCAGCTGTAAATTGTGTTGCACGCACATGCATGCATGCAGGCAATCACACTGCAGCAAATTGCATGCACACACACACGGAATCCTATAGCACACCGACTAGATTCCGATAGTGACATGCCAGCATCTCCTGAAAAAGCTCTGCAGGCCCACCGCTCCGACTTCGGCATGTGCCCAGAAGACCTGCGCCACGAGGCAAGGTTGAATAGCTAGCCTAGGCTACTATAATGGCTTCAGCAACTTTACACCTGCTGCACGGGTGCATGCATCAACAATCTCATGCTGTTTGCTCGCAGAGACAGCAAGCTCAGATCGTTCGACTTGAAATCGCTGAACACCCCACCGCCACCCAGCAAGGATCCTAAGGGTGGCAGTAAAGGCATCAAGAGCAAACAGTACTCCCAGCAGGCTTTTTTGCTGCTAGGCTTTGGCAAACAATCTAATTGCCACGTTCCATACTGTATGCAGGCCCCGGCCCCCAATCATCCAAAATCAAGCTCGTGGCACATGTGCACATGTGCTGTCAGCGGATCAGGAAGCTTCACGATAAGCCTGAGATTGCATGCAATGAGTTTACAAAGCAGGGATGCAGACCAGCTCTGGTGGCTCTAGTATATGTGCAGGTATAAGTAACAATCTTCGCGATCTCCGAGGCTTCCTCTGCTGTCATTCCTGAACTGAGCGCCTCTTTCTTCGCCCGGTGATATGCCACGCTTTTTCGACTTTTCAAAGCCTTATCCTCATCATCTTTCGAGCCAGCCTTGCCTTTGGCCTTTGCCTTTGCTTTCTGTTTCGCAGCACATTTCACCTTGGCTTTTGCCTTTGCTTTTGCTTTGGGCTTTGCCTGATCCTGCTGCTTGCCTCTCTTGGCTGCCGGGCGCTTCATTGATGCAGGCTCATCAGTTTGCTCACCTTCCTCCTGCTCCTCTTCCTCCAACTCCTCTCCATCGAGGTGTTCTGGATCCTCCTCGTCATCTGCCTCCTCCTGCTCCTCCCTTTCCTCATCCTCATCCTCATCCTCATCCTCATCCTGATTCTTCTTGGCCCTTCCCTTTGGCTTGGCCGGCTGTTGCTCTTCAGGGCTCAAGGTAGGCTTCATCGTCATCATGCAAGCTGGCTTGGTAGGCAAGGGCTTGTGGGCTTCATCAGCTGGCTCGGGGGGCTTGATCGAGGCCTCAGGCTTGTTTCCCGCTTCTTTGGGCTTGACACCACAGGCCCGGCGTGCCAAGCGCTTGGATCGAGGCTTCGGTCTGCGTGGGCCCAAGACAACAGGCGGGGGAGACTCCTTGGCACGTTCAGCGGCCTCCAAAGACTTTTCATCCTTTCGGTTTGCTGCTGGGCTTGGGTCGGCAGCACTCTCGAAGCTAAGTTGCCTTGCCACACCACCATTCTCGAATGAAGGTTGTGCATCATGAGGCCAAGCTTGCGTCTCCAGATTGTCAGTCAGGACACCTAGAGATCGAGACATGCACTTATTAAGGTCTTCAAGGCCCCACACATATGATCATGATGAAGAGAGAGAGGTCGGACAATTGATTGCAACCATGGCACCACGAGACCCAGAATCAGGAACAGCCTGCGGCTTTGTCGGCTGCTCATAAAGCCTTTCACTCTTCCGTTGGGCAAGCTCGGAACGAATCTTCTGCAATCGTTCCTAGGCTATCGATGCAACATATCATGCATGCTAAGTGACTGCAGTTTGCAAGCATAAACAGCACACTAGTAAATGCAGGCATGCAGCCAGTTCACGACGCTTCTTTGCGAGCTCTGGGTTGCAGTCAGTTCCGCCTAAGGCCTCGATGGTGCCAATGCTTCCACAGGCCTGGCAGTGGAACTGATTGTCACCGTAGGCAGCAACCACATGAATCCTGGGCTTCTGGTGCTCGATGAGACCTGAGCAAGGGCAGGGATCTAGAATAGCTAGGAGAGGCTAGGGATTTGTAGTTGCTAGCAGATACTGCAGATGAAGTGCCTTTGGAAACCGTAGCAAGTGGGCTCTGACTTGTTGCGGGAGACTCCTGCAAAGGACCTGCACAGGATCCATGCATGTGTTACTCAACAGCTTAAGTCATGCAGCTATCAACAATAAATGCCTGCATGCTCTCTCTTGTGGATGGGGACGGGTAGCTTCTTGTGCTGTCCTTGCAGATCTAACTTGGGGGACTCCTGCTTAGCCTCTGTGCTTGTCTGTCGGCTGTGCAATGGCTCCTGCTTAGCCTGTGTGCTTGTCTGTCGGCTGTGCAATGGCTCCTGCTTAGCCTCTGTGCCTGTCTGTTGGCCGTGCAATGGCTCCTGCTTAGCCCCTGTGCTTGTCTGTTGGCTGTCCAATGGCTCCTGCTCAGTCTCTGTGGTTGCCTGTTGGCTTAGACTAGCCTCCGGGGTTGGGTCATGCTTGCTTTGTGGCTCCTCCTTTCTTAGCTCGTGCTCCTTTGCAAGCTCCCGCATTTGCTCACTGGTTGGCCGTGGGATGTCTTCTGCTGCAGCCGGTACTACAGGCGGCTGCTGCTGCTTCTTCTGCTCAAACTGCATGCGCTCATGCTTGCTGTCATCATCCACCTTGCGAGTCTTGGCAGGTCGCTCAGCCACCTCCATCAGGGGCACTGTCGTAGTTTCTGGGGCCTCGATCATCAAAGGCTCAACATCCTCAGCACGCTTATTTTCACCCGTGGGAACAGGTTCCCCAGGCTCCACTAGCTCATCTTCTTCCATACAGTCTTCCTCTTCACCTTCTCCCTCAGCTGCAGATGAAACATCATCATCCCCTGCCACAGATCCGTCAGGAATCGGTATGCCGACCCGCTCCATCATCCTTCGGATGATTTCAGACCTTGGACGGTGAGGCCGCGAGCTGACACGGTTGAAGTGTGAAAGCAGGCATTTGATCTGCCAAGCAATTGATCCCGCTTGCGGACCTTAGTTGTAGGACACATGCACATATACATCAGGAGAAGGCCTAACACAACACAGGCGCACACATACGATCACACAAGATGCATGTATGCAATGCATATAATTGACACTAAGGCACCAGATATTGGAAGACTCATCATATCCGTGTAGAGGGAAGCCACATGAACTTCCAAGGTGTCCACTCCCACACGTGCTCCCAAGTGCAGAATGGCAGGCACAATTAATCTCTCATTCAGCTCGAGGGCTACCCGGTCCACCACACCAGTGGGCGTTGTCTTCACCTCATGATCATCGACATAAACTCGATCATGCTAGCATGCACATGTACATGCAGATAACCTTGTGCAGTCTCGTGACTAGTTTGCCTGCAGCAATGCGACGGCGAACATCTGCATCTTTCTCCCAGGCCTTGGCAAGGGCTGTACCACAATCCTCCACCTCCATGGCTTGCCCCGACACCATGGATGATATCGTGCGATACGTTATAGCACCCCTAGCCCTGGCGGCTTGCTCCGTGCACATGAGGGACACCATGCAAAAATCTCGCACATGTGCACAAACATGAGCTGATCGGGAGATATTGCGAAACACACAAGCTGGCACATGTATTGCAAGCATACCTGCTGCATGCCTCATCAACGTGCTTTCTGCAAGCATCAACAGAACCAGCATGGGAGGGCTCACCTTTGCCGCCATCAGCACGCTGCAGAGATCGAAGATGCCACCTGGCATTGATGGCCGGTTTATGTGCTGCAGTCGATGTAACTATCTGCATGACACCTGGCCTTCATGTACGCATCAATGCATGGCACCGAGTCAGACCTGCAAGCCAAGGTATGGATGGCACCCATGGTTGGTATGATGCTCATGATGCTGGCTCCCCCGCCTCCACCATCCCATCACGCTCGATGGCATCGGGCGCACCATGCGCCACAGGGTGGGGTGAGCACAAAGATCTCATACGACAAGCATTGCTATAGCGCGATAGTACTAGCTTGGATAAGCTTATAATGCTTGGTTGCTGTGCAACGTGATGTCTCCGACTATAGTGTCATTGCAACAACCACCGTATTGAACACTTGCAAGCATGAAACGCACGAATAAACAAGCAAACGCTCGCAAACACAGGAAGCGCCCGAACTGCACGATCATACCCGGTTTTGCAGCTAAAACCGAAGAATGACTACAACGATCAAACGAGCAGGAATTTACGCCCGAAGGAATCACCAGGTAGAGCTACCTCGGATAATAGTCAGCATGAAACAACGACCTGCCACGATTGCGTATGTAGCTCACTGCCCTACGAGTCGTAGTGCAGTTGTGTAGCTTTGTGTTGGTGTTCCGGGTGTTGGGCTTACAGTGGCTTAGGATTTCGAGGGTGGTGTAGGTCTTACGGGTCCAAGGGCAAAGAGTTTTAGGTTGGTTGTTTCGGGTTTCCGATGTTTTTGTAGCTTTAGAGGATATGGCTGCAGAGAATCAAGTCTTGTCTGCACCCTTACATGCAGCTCCGATTCTGGGCTACTACTTGACTGACTACACTCTCGCATTATTGTATGTCGATAGCTACGGCTTATTCTCTTTGTATTCATTCTTGGATTCTGGTACCTCTTGTTATAGAAGCTTGAATAGTTAGACTTTGTTCTTTGGCGCTTTCTGTGCACCCAACAATAAGATTTAGGAGCCCTGAGGAATAGCATTGCATTAATCGTTGCAGGCCCTGTTGCCAGGGTTGCTGAAAACCAAGCCCTAAACCCTAACCACTAGACCCCTAAACCCTAAAGCCCTAAAGCCCTAATCCTTAATCCCCTAAAACCCTAAACCCTAAACCCCTAAACCCTAATCCCCTAAACCCCAAAACCGAAAACCCCAAAACCCCTAAAACCCCAACTAACCTACCGATTTTTTGGACTTATATATAGAATTCATAATAAGGAACCCTAAAAAGGTAGGTTCTTTAGGGTCCAAGTAAACCCTAACCGCCCAAACTCTAAACCCCTAAACCCTAAACCCCTCAGCCCTAAACCTATAAACCCGAAACCCTAAACCCTAAAAAGGTAGGTCCTTTAGGG